TGATGCTGACGATGATGACGATGACCATGAGGGGATGAAGAGGAGGACGAGGCGAGGAGGATGAGGATTGTGGCGGACGAGGGGGATTCATATAATGATAATAACAATCCGATTCAGAGTAATACTGATGATGATGAGGAGGAGGAGGAAAAGGAGGAGGAGGAGCAGGAGGAGGAGGAAGAGGACGAAGACGAGGATGGTGATGTTGATGTTGATGTTGATGTTGTTGATGGTGGTGATGATGCTGATGTTGATGTTGCTGCTGATGTTGATGCTGATGTTGTTGATGATGATGATGATGCTGACGATGATGATGATGATGATGATGATGATGATGATGATGATGATGATGACGATGATGATGATGATGATGATGATGATGATGATGATGATGATGATGATGATGATGATGATGATGATGATGTTGATGATGATGATGATGATGATGATGATGAGGAGGAGGAGGAGGAGGAGGAGGAGGAGGAGGAGGTGGAAGAGAAGGAGGATGATGATGATGAGGAGGAGGAGGAGGAGAGGAAGAACAGGAGAGCCGTCATATATGACATCTTTCGTTTTCACTTCTCGAGGAGACCTCATGGACCTCATTTGGGCCGTCTTGGGGCTGTCCTTGGCTTCTGTGGGGCAGTCTTTGAGGTCCCTTGGGGCCCTCTTGGGCCGTCTTGGGGCCCTCTGGTGCCGTTTCGGCGCTCTCTTGGGGCCTTCGTGGCCGTGTAGGGGTCTCTTGGGGGTCTCGTGGGGCCGTCGTGGGGCCGTCTTGGGCCGTCCAGGGGTCCTCGAAGGCCGTCTTAGGACCCTCCGAAGGCCCGTTGAGGGACGCCCTCGTGGCCTGGCTTGAGACTTTCTTGGGCCCGGCCTGGGCCGTCCAAGTGCTCTCTTGGGATGCCTCGAGGCCGTCTCGGAGCCCTCGTGGGCTATCTTGAGGCCCTTTTGGGCCGTCGTTGATCCATCTAGGAGGCCTCCTGGGCTGTCTTAGGCCGACAGACGTTTGAAAAAGCGAGAATGCGCACATCTGTCCCAAACCCACGGGGATCAATGCTTTTGGTCTCTGCGACTTCCCTGACGGTTCTCTTGGAGCCGTCTTGGGCCGTTTGGGGTATTCCGGATTCCGTAACAAAGTCGGGGGGTCACATTTGGGGGGAGGTCTGATTTGAGCTGTCTTGGAGGGTTCGGGGGGGTCTGGGCAAAGGGCCGCCCTTTCATGGATGGTCTGGGAGGGTCTAAGACTTCTCGTCTGGGAGGGTTGAGACCCACTCCCTTTTGTTACGAAATCTGGAAAATCTGGAGTATGTTTTGGACCGTATTCCAATGCCAAAAGCGGCTCCAGGATTGGAACCGGAGCCGGAACCGGTCCAAAAACGGCGACGGGACCGGTAAAAAAACGGCGTCGGAACTGGCCAAAAAACGGCAAAACGGAACCCGTAAAAAAACGGCCCTGTCGTTTCCAGGGCCCACTGAGTTTTGGACCATATTCCAATGCCAGGGATGTCCTGGGGCCCTGTCGGGGCGTCATCGGGAGGCATCTTGGGCCCTGCCGGCGGCCTGGGTGGCCTGCCGGGTGCGTGCTGGAGGCGATCTTGGACATTTTTTTGGACGCCTTGAAGAGCACCAGGGAGGCGTCCAGCTCCTCCTCCTCCTCCTCCTCCTCCTCCCCCTTCTCCTCCTCCTCCTCCTCCTCCTCCTCCTCCTATTCCTCCTCATCCTCTTCCTCCTCCTCCTCTTCTTCCTCCTCCTCCTCCTCCTCCTCCTCCTCCTCCTCCTCCTCCCCGGGAGGGTGGGGGGGGGCGGTGCATGCGGAAGTCCGCTACTACGAGAGGGGTGTCTTCTGGAAGGCTGCAGGGACCCTCCCAGGCAGCACTGGGGCCGCGTCGGGGCGCCGTGGGGGCATCTTGGGCCCTGCCGGCGGCCTCGGGGGCCTGCCCGGTGCGTGCCGGAAGCGATCTTGGGCCTCGTTGGACGCCTTGGAGAGCACCAGGGAGGCGTCCAGCTCCTCCTCCTCCTCCTCCTCCTATTCCTCCTCATCCTCTTCCTCCTCCTCCTCCTCCTCCTATTCCTCCTCATCCTCTTCCTCCTCCTCCTCCTCCTCCTCCTCCTCCTCCTCCTCCTCCTCCTCCTCTTGGCCTGCCTAGTGCGTGCTGGAAGCGATCTTGGGCCTCGTTGGACGCCTTGGAGGGCACCAGGGAGTCGTCGGGCCGGCCAGGGAGCCTCGGGAGGGTGGGGTTCGGGAGGGGAAAAAACACGCAGACACAATTAGTCTGCGATTCCCCAGAAAGAATGGGAAAGTATGGGAAGTGGGGGGGAAGACAAAAGCCCAGAAAATATGGGAAAATGTGGGGAACATTTTTATTTGTGCGTATTTATGTGTGTGTCCCAGGGCCCCTTCAGGGGTGGGGGGGGCGACGCATGCGGAAGGCCGCTACCACGAGTGGTGTCCTTTAGAGCATTGCAGGAACCATCCCAGGCAGCACTTGGCATTCTGCCACACCTCAACGTGCCACGAGGCACGGTGGCGGGTTACGACGACAACGACGACGACGACGATATGATGACGATGCTATGCTGATGCTACTGCAGATGATGATGTGGTTGACAATGTTGTGGATGCTGATGGTGATGATGATCATAATTATGATGTTGACGATGATCATGATGATGACGACGATGATTATGATAATAATACTGATTATTCTTATGATGATGAGGTTATGATGATGATGATGATGCTGGTGATGATGATAACGAAGATGGTGGTATTCATGTGGGTGATAATGGTGATGCATATCATGATGATGTTGTGTTGATGCTGCTGCTGATGATGCTGCTGTTGATGATGATGGTGACACGTAGGAGGAGGATGAGAAGACTGTGGAGGAGGAGGGGGAGACTGATGCTGCTGCTGCTGATGATGATGATGACGATGATGATCCATGGTGGTGATGCTTATGCTGCTGCTGATTATGATGATGATGGTGATGATGCTGATGATGATGATGCTGATGATGATGCTGATGATGATTTGTGATGCTGATGCTGATCATGATGATGCGGTGATGGTGATGCTGATGATGATAGTGGCGACCATGGCGATGGCGATGGTGATGGAGATGGCGATGATGATGATGATGATGATGATGATGATGATGATGATGATGATGATGATGATGATGATGATGATGATGATGATGATTATGATGAAGATGATGATGACGATGATAATGATGATGATGATGATGATGATGATGATGATGATGATGATGATGAGATGATGATGATGATGATGATGATGATGATGATGATGATGATGATGATGATGATGATGATGATGATGATGAGGAGGAGGAGGAGGAGGAGGAGGAGGAGGAGGAGGAGGAGGAGGATGAGGATGTTGAGGCTTTCGATGCTGTTGCGGATGTGGGCGATACTTGCGATTCTGATGATGTTGTTATTGCCGATGAGGGCGAGGAGGACGGCGATGGTGGTGACGATGCGGAGCATGACTATCTAATGACCTTCGACCCATCCCGCCACCGTGCCAGGGTTTTTGGGTATGAAGCCTACCGGATGGTCGTTTGGATCTCGTGGGGGGCCTCTCGGTGGCCTCTTGGAGGCAGTTTGGACGCCTCTAGGGGGACGTTTTTGGGACTCTTTTAGGCCTTTTGGGGCCCCTTGGGGGCATCTTGGGGCCTCCTGGGCGCCTCTTGGGGCCTCCCAGGGGCCTCTTGGGGCGGAAGGCTCGGATTTTCGGTTTGTGTTCCCTCTCGTTGGCCCCTTTTGGGGCCGTCTTGGGGCCCCCTTGAGCCGTCTTGCGCGCCTCTTGGGCCGTCTTGGGGCGCTTTTAGGCCTTCTTGGGTCCCTCTCGGAGGCCTCTTGGGGGCCGTTTTGGGGTGGTTTTGGGGGCCTCTTGGGCCGAAAAGCCGAGAACGCCAAAATCCTTCAAAAACCTAACTTCTTGGGAAGCCTCTTGGAGGCCTCTGGGGCCGCCTTGGAGGCCTCGTGGGCCGTCTTGGGGCCATCTTGGGCCGATCTCTGGGCGTATCGGGGCCCCCTGGGGCCGTCTTGAAGGCCTCCCGGAGCCCCCTTTGCCCGTCCGGACAGGTCATGCGACAAGCCTCGGGGGCATGCGACAAGCTCTGGTAGATCTAGGAATTTGGTGTCCAGGCCCCTGAAAGATCCCTCAGGACTGAGGACTGAGGCTGCAGGGATTAGGCAAATAACCTGAGGACACGCCCACTCTGTGCCCAGAGGCCCTATGGAAAGATGAAGAAGGGGGGAGAGGGGAGGAAGGAGGAGGAGTAGGAGGATAGGAGGAGGATGAGGAGGAGGAGGAGGGAGGAGGAGAGGAGGAGGAGGAGGAGGAGGCGAGAGGAGTAGGAGGAGGAGGAGGAGGAGGAGAGGATGAGGAGGAGAGAGAGAGGAGGAGGAGGAGGAGGATGGAGGAGGAGTGAGGAGGAGAGAGAGGGGAGAGGAGGAGGAGGAGGAAGAGGAGGAGGAGGAGGAGGAGGAGGAGGAGGAGGGGAAGGAGGAACAGAGGAGAAAAAGGGAAGGATCGGCCTCCCTGCGTTCTGCACCCTCTTCCCTGTTCCGTCCTCCTTCCTCCTTTTCACCTCTTCCCTGCTTCCGGATCCCTCTCTCCCCAGGGTCCCTCCCTCCCTTCTTTCCTCCCTTCCTTCTCCTGCCGACCTCTCTCCTCCTCTCTTCCGTTCTCCGTCCTCCGTTCTTTGTATTCGTGTTTTCCGTATTTGGGTCAGTAGCATTGCGCTTACTATTATTATTTGCAGGTTGATTCGTTTTCGTGTTATGCGTGCTCATATTCTTGGTAGGCTTTGTCATTATCGCTCTTAGTATTCACCGTATTGTCATTCGTTTGTATGTTGATCATTTTCACTTACTCTTCTTACGCTTCTCATTGCGTTTCGCACTTTCCCTGATTGTTTCTTTTTCATATGCGGATTATGATCATTCTTATTCCTCCTCCAGCCCCA